ATGGAAAAATACCTTGGCACAATGTTGGCAAAGATATGGAGAAATGGAATGTTCAAACATTGCTGATGGGAATATAAAATGGTTGAGTCACCTTATAAAACAGTCTGGCAGAGTTACTTATGGCCCATAAATTTCAATCCTAAGTATCTACCTAAAAAAAAAAAGAAGTCAACTCAAAACCACAAATATTCACAGCAGCATGATCATAAGAACACAAAGTGAAAGTCACCCAAATATCCATCAACTGATAAATGGATAAACAAATGGCAGTGTATCTATATAACAGAACACTTTTTAGCAATAAAAGAAATGAAGTTCTGATATGTGCTACCCCAAAAACCGGCTAAAAAAACAGATACAAAGGACCATATATTGAATGATTACATTTACATAACATGTCCAGAACAAGTAAATTCACAAAGAGAGAAAGAAGATTCATGCCTACATGGAGCAAGAGTGAGTGGAGACTGACTGCTAAAGGGCATGGGTCTTCTTTGGGTATGACAAATGTGTTTCAGTATTAGATAGCTGGATAGGCACACAACTGTGTGAATATACTAAAACTCAGTGAATTGCACTTTTAAGGAGTGACCTTGATGGTAATGTGAATTATATATCAATAAAGCTGTTATTTTTTGAAAATGGCTGCCCAAATCATATACTAACACCTCTGCACAAGGGTCTGGTTGAATCACTGTGCCTGTGACAAAATAAGCTGTCAGAAAAACACACAATCTGTTCAAATTGGAAAATAATCTATGTTCCTACCAATAAATTCCTATTTCACCCAACCATAAAACCAGATCCAAAGTAGAAAGAACAATGAACAAAAGAGCATGAAATTCAACAATTAGCTGGAAGGTTATAGAATGAAACTAACCAAAGACTGTCTACCCAAATTTCCAATCAAATGATCACTTACTCTGCCAGTCTAAATTAAACTTTATGCCTAATATAGAAAAAACTGTTTCAAATACAGAAAATCAAATCCATTTAATATTTAATAAAGTCTTTTTTGGGGGGGGTAGTTGTAGATAGTCATAATTGCTTTATTTATTTATTTGTTATTTATTTATTTATTGTGGTACTGATGATCAAACCCAGTGCCTCCCAGATGCCAAGCAGGTGCTCTACATTGACCCATAAACCCATCCCTGTAATAAATTCTTAATATTTATTTAAATGTAGTATAAAAATTTTAACAAATGCAGCTAACAGGAAAAATAAAGAAAAAGGCCTTCATTTTTATTACAACTTCTGTTTAATCCCTCACTTTCCAGGAATATTTTTAGTAGGTTTTAGGGCACAAAATTAAAGAAATTAACTCATCAGTAAAATGAAAGGCACTGTATAAATAAATTCCTGTATTGCCACAGAAAAGATTCAAAAACCTAAAACTTCAATATTTTAGAAAACAAATAAGATTACATCATTAGGCACAATAAGATAGCAGAAGGAAAAATCCAGGAAAACTTCATTAATTTGGCCCAATAATGAAGACTCAGTAATTTCAAGTCTACCTTGATTTAATTTCAGACTATGAATTAAGAAATAATTGCTAGGGGCTGAGGTTGTAGCTCAGCAGTAGAGTGCCTGCCTGGCACATCAGGGCCCTGGGTTCAATCCTCAGCATCACATATAAATCAATAAAATAAAGGTATTGTATCCAACTACAGCTAAAAAAAATAAATATTTAAAAAAAGAAATAATTGCTAGACAAAATAAAGTGCAAATAAAACTTGCTAGAGTATTATTTAATTGATTTTAAGTTTCACATGCAAATGACTTCTACAAAAATAATAATTAAAACAAGTTACATGTATTCTTTAGAATCCTGTATTCTAATAGAAATAAAGTATATAAAATAGAGATCAAAATACTGCTTAAATCTATTAAATCATTAATTGTTCCATCTCTCTGTTTACTTTGGCTGTAAAAAACTGGTTCAGGGGTCAGAAAAGCTTTACAGGCAAGTCTCAGACAAAAACTTACTCATTCTACTCAAAGTCTGGCAATCTAATTTTCTGCTTTTATTTTAAAAAAATGTGAACCATACAATTATATTTACTTTATTTTGGGGGGTATTTAGTTTATCATTATTTTCAAACAACATATTGTGAAAAATATTGCCATGTGTATACTGAGAAACATAAACAGATCTTAAACAAGATCCAGAAGCATACTTAGTTTAAATACTTACTCTGCCCATATATATATATATATATATATATATATATATATATATATATATATATATATATATATTTAAAATACAGGACTTATGTGATTCTAAAAACTAAATAGAATATAGTCCACATCAAAATTTGAAATAAAGTACCATCGAATGATATGGCAGCAAGTGCCATACAGTTATGCACATCTAAATTTAAAAGAAACCATGTTAGTCTTCTCTAAATTGAAATGTATACTATTCTCTTTTGCATCCTTAACTTAATAATGACAATATACATCAACCATTGGGAGGTTGAGGCTGAGGCAGGAGGATCCTACATTCAAGGCCAGTCTTAAGAACTTAGTGAGGCCCTAAGCAAATTAGCAAGATCCCGTCTAAAAATTAAAAATAAATAAATAAATAAACAAAAGGGCTGGGGATGTTTCAGTGGTAAAGTGCCCCTAGATTCAATCCCCACTACCAAAAAATTAAACAAAGAAGTAAATAATGATTTGGGTGTCTGTGGATGCCTACCAGGTAGGTAGGTATTCAGTGCTGAATGAAAACTGGTGAATAAATCGCCAGTTGGACCATATTGTTCCAGCCTTGGGTGATTCAGTAAACAATGTTTTTTATTATTCAATGTTAATTGAAGTGAAAAGAAAAGCACTCTCAGGAAAGGCAATCTAGATGTAGTTTATGTATAGAAGACAGTTCAAAGAATAAACAGTAGGTCAATGATAAAGTTGTGAATCTGCTTCATGTGAGGCCATCTTTATATGTAACTCTTATTTGATTGAAATAAAATCTAAAGCAAATATAAAATTAAAAATCATATTTACATCAGGAAGTGATAAAATCTTTGGACAGATGAGATACGCATAGTCTTAGACATGATCGCACAATCATAGTTTACATAAGTCATAAAAACTATATTATCACCCAGTTATGGAAATAATATTCTGTATGCTATTCAGCCATTGGTATCCATGCTTTAAAATTGTTAAGAAATTTATTTTGAAAGTTACTTTAGGCTTCCCTTCAGGTGAATAAAACACAAAAGTACTGCTCTTTGCAGAAGAAATCCTTCTGTATTCAAAACAATTATAGCTGGTTGATCAAGTTTTCAAATATTTCTTTTTAATATTTACTTTTTAGGTTTTTTTTTTTTTTTTTTTTCACGGTGGGACACACTCTTTTTATTTTATTTTTATGTGGTGCTGAGGATTGAACCCAGTGAATCATACAGTCCAGGCTAGTGTACTACCACTTGAGCCACATCCCCAACCCTCAAGTTTTCAAATATGAACAATGAGTTAAAATCAAGGCAAAAGACCTAAAAGAACTCAATATATTTAAATATTTTCATCACATTTAATGCCTAAGAATATCTGACATGTAAGAATCACTAGTATATTCTTAAGGAAGAGAATTCTTTATGTTAATAGGAATGTTGAGTGAAAGAAATCTTTGAAAAACACAAGGTTTCCTTCAATAGTTTACAGATGAACACACCTATAATCCCAGAAACTCAGGAGACTGAGGCAGGAGGATCACAAGTTCAAGGATAGCCTCAGCAACTTATCGAGGCCCTGTCTCAAAATAAAAATAAAATAAAATAAAAGGTGCTGGGGATTTAATTTACTAGTGAAGTACCTCTGGGTTTGATCCCCAGTACCAATAAAAAACATGTTATCTCAAAAATATACTTTTTTTCTTATTGGATTAGCAAAGATTAAAAATATTAACAAAACTTGGTGTGAGCAAGGGTTTTGAAAAGAGGATTCTCATGGACATTGAGGGGGACAGCTTTTACAGATAACATCTTAGCTATATTTATCACTATTTAAAATGTATATAATCTTTGACCTGGCAGTTATACCTCTAAGAAGATAAGTGAATAAGTATACTATAATCAACATACCATTATTCCCAAGAAAGAATAAAAAGTAAGAATCTAAATGGTTATGAAAAGAGTAGCTAGATAAAGTATGATGTCTCTAAATAATAGAAAACAAGGCAGGCAAGGCTGGGTTGTAGCTCAGTGGTAGAGCACTTGCCTGTGAAGAACAAACAGGATTTGATTCTCAACATTGCATATATAAAGATCTATTGACACCTAAAAAAAAATAATTAAAAAACAAACTAGGCAGCCAGTAAAATGATCACCCATGATTATGCACATCAGGTTCAACTCACAAATATATATATATATATATATATATATATATATATATATATATATATATATATATATAACACAGTAAAAATGACCACATAGCTTCATATAGAGAGATTGCTGTGTATTTAAAGTCTTATATATACTTTCATATGCATCAATAAGTTTCCAAAAGTGAGTTAATGGCTGCCATTTCTTTGTGCAGGAGTTGAGGGCTTACTTTTGTCATTATGTTGTTTTATATGGGTAGAAATTTTTTTCTAATTATTATAATAAAAAATCGCAACAAACTTTTAAGAGAAAGAAGTGCCTCTATATCACCAAAATTACTTCAAATCTTTTCATCTTCCCATTTAAGAGGAAAGAATTCATTGAATGTTACAAGTAAATGTAATACAGGATCTCCTTCTCAGAACCACACTTTAAAATGACAAGATAATAGAAATTAAAATATTAGAGTCAAAGAGATAGTTAAAGAAAAACATTATTATTCAAACAGCCCACATTATTGGAATCCAACTTACCACCCAGAGGTTCTATGAACTCAAACACTCCTAAAACAATATCCCTTTTACACATTAAGGAAGCAGACTAAAATAATAATAATAATTAAAGAATTTTTAAAATGTAAAATCATAAAACACTTACCACAGTAAAAATATTTAATTATTTTCCTGTCTTACATTCTTGCATAGCATCTTTATTAAGATCCTGAAAAAAGAAGTTTGGAGAAGTTAAATAGATTTTAAATGTATACATTTAATCTGATGTTTATTTCCTTTAGATTTCTGTTTTTCTGGAACTACACAAAACAGTTCAAAAGTACTGATGGGAAAATAAGCAAGCAAGAATTCCCAGGAATATGAAAAGCAACAAGGGGAAACTAGCTTTAAAAGATATTAAAACTTTTATAAAACCAATAATGTGATACTGGTATATGAAGAAAAAAACTAATAGAATACAAACCCCAGAGACACCCCAATACCTCCAAAAGTTAACAATACCATAACAGATTCAAAGAACGGCTCTAAAATCAACAGGTGAAAATAACAGACACACAGAAAAAGATAAAGTTGAACCTATGCATCATTCTGAACACCAGAATAAATCCTAATTTGAACATTTAAATGTAAAAGTGATACCATAAAAGTACTATAAGAAACCATGGGCAAATTCTAAAAATCTTGGAGGGCTTTCAGTGACTTAAACTCCAGATACCTGGGCTGGGGCTGTAGCTCAGTGGTAGAGTGCTTGCCAGCACTTCTGAGGCATTGGGTTTGATCCTCAGCACCACTTAGAAATAAAGATTTAAAAAAAAATCAAGATACCATAATGATTAAAATAAACTGTAATATTTAAAGAAAAAATGTAAGACTTTTGTATATCAAAATATGTGAATATAAATAAAAATAAGTGAAAATCAGGGGAAAACTATAATTGATATCACACAGGGCTAATGTGTCCAATTTACAAATTTCTAGAAATTGATAATGGGAAAAAAGCAACCCAAAACAAAAATGTGAAAATACCCATTAACAGAGAGTTCACAAGAAAAAAAAAATACAATTAGTTTTTATGCATAATATGCTCAGCCTTATTAATAATGATAGCAATCCATATTAAACTACTCCATATTGATAATTCTCATCTATCAAACTGTTAACAAATTCAAGGGTTGTACACAGTACATTGGAAAGGCCCCAGAAAAATAGGAACTCTCTCATACAATGTGATCTGCCCTCTTGTATCCATGGTATTCAGACTGGATTTACCAATCATAGGTGAAAATATTGTTTTAAAAATTGTAATACTGAACACATACAAACATTTTTGTTGTCACTAGTCCCTAAATTATACAGTGTAATGACTATTTACATGGCATTTATATTGTATTAGGTCTTCTAAGCAATCTAAAGGTGATTTAAAAGTATGTGGAGAAAGTGCATAGGTTATATGAAAATACTATGCTTTTTATATAAGAGACTTAAGCATCCTTGTATTTCAGTATCCACAAAGGGGTGCTCAAACCAATCCTCCATGGATAATGAGGAGCAACTGTACTTGTTGGAGTTTAAAATGGTGCAACACCTAAAAAAAGGAAGCATTTAACTAAATTATACATGCACTGCCCACTGGTGCAGGGATCCCACATCTAGGAATGTATCCCACAGATGTACTTGCACATGTATAAAATTATATGTATACAAGCTGTTTCACTATAGTATGGTCTGTGATAAACCTGGAAACAACCCAAACACCCACTGGGGGGGGGCTGGCTAAGTAAACAAGGCACTTAATAGACACTTTTTAAACACAGCTGTTTTTTTTAAAGTGTTTTCTATAAACAAATATTATATTTTTTCTAAATAAATACTAATAGGAAAAAATCTCAAGAGCATAAAAAGAAAAAGCCATAGGATAGAATTACTTACATAGTATACTATATTTTATATAAAAATAATAGAGTACACTGGCATTTCTCCTATTATAAAAGGAAACAATTGACATCTATGGGAAATAAATCAAAGGTGGTTATCTAAGAAAGAGTGGTGAAGGGGGGGGGGGCAAAGCAGTTGGAAATCACATTTTCCCAAGCATGCCTGTGTCATTTTAACTTTTGAACCATAAGAACATGTTATCTACATTAAAAGAATTTTCAAACATTAAAAAGAATACTTACAGAAAGAAGAGAAAGAGACACCCATAGATAAGACTTAAAATTAAGGTTTAAAGAGATTTTTTGCTCTGAAATTAGATGCTGAAAAGCAATCTTAGTGTGGTCATTGCAAAAAAAAAAAAATGCTTTTTTGCTCTTCAATCAAGTTAAAGAATATGATAATCTGTTTTTAAAAAGCTATTTGAATGAGTAAGAAATTTGGTAAGGGGAGAAAAATGGACACTCTAGTATAATGGTTCTCCAAGTATGGTCCCTGTATCAGCAGCATCAGCATCATGTGATAACTTGTTAAAATTAAAATTCTCAGGCTCCCACCCAGACTACTGAATCAGAAACTTTGTACTAGTCCAGCAATCCTGGTAACACCCTCAAGTCTGAGAGTCACATATCTTGTCTGGTTCTTCCCACAGGTTCAGGTACACCACAAGTCTGCATTTCAAACAAGCTCCAGGACATAGGACCACACTTGGATAAGCAAAGCTGAAGTCCTCCTGGAGGAAAAAGGTATGTAACCTTCAACCTATGGTTGAGTTTCCCATGAAACCTGTCCTCAGTATCAGATGGAAAAAAATCCTTATACAGGCTTCCTATCCAAGAGATATCATGGAACTAGTTTCCTACATAAATTGTGTACACAGAGAATAAATGTTTTCAAATACATTCTTATAAAAACAATAACAACTATGAATCATTGAAATTCAACTTAAGGATGCCTCACTTGAAAAAAATTATAAGTGGACCTACAAACTTTTAGAAATAGGGCAAAGAAACAAAAATAATCCATATTCCATAAATTCTGCCTGTGTTGTCTGAACAACTTAACCTCAAATGCATTACCTGCCCACCATATGCTTTCATGGAAAAGCACCAAGAAGTTTGTTTTCCTCAAACCCTTTTCAAAAAAAAAAAAAAAAAAATTGTCCTAATGTTGATGAACACTGGTCTTCCATTTGTTTTACACAAGGAGAAAGATCTGTATAGGAATCTTCTGAATACAAAATTCTAGTTTAGCAGAGCACAACACACACGCCTAGAAGGCAGGCAGCTTTGTAGCAGCAGCGCCGCCGCAGCAGCGAGATTCGGACCAAGCTCGAGCCCTCCCTGAGCCCCAGAGATGCCCCGGACTCCCACCCCGGGTCCCGGATGGTGCTCGTCCATCTGTCCCCAGCCCTGCAGCCCAGCCCCAGGACCCGCGCCCCAAGCCCACCCCCCTCCCCCGCCCCTCACCTTCCTCTTCCCGCCGGCCACCAATCCGCTGGCCACCATTTTGGTGGAGCTGGAGGAGACCCTGCCGCTCCAGGGCGCCGAGGGGGCCCTGGGGGGGGGGGGCGGGCAGCGACAAGGGCCATCATGGCCCCAAGCATAACAGCACCTCAAGAAGAACCAGCCGGGCAAGTACAGCCAGCTGGTGGTGGAGATGTCCACAGGCTTGGCGAGCAGTGGCTTGTTGCTGGCGGGCCAAGAAGGTGGCGGGTTCGACCAGAAGAACAGCTGCACCTACCTCAAGTACTTGATGCAAGCTGGTGCAGAATGACTTGCTACTGCAGGTCAGGGGTACAGATGCCACCGGCTCCTTCAAGCTCCATTGCCAAAAGCTGGCTGCCAGCTAATGGTGCGCCCCTTTTCCGCACCTGCCATGCACAAACCCAAGAAGCCGGCAGCAGGCGCCACACGGACACCTGACCCACCAAGGGCACTGCAGCCGACAAGCACGCACCCCCAAAGGCCGCTGCCGCCGAGGACAAGGGCAGCAGCAGCAGCAGCAAGGCCAAGAAGGCAGCAGCTGGGAGCAAGAAGCTGAAGAAGGCAGCCAAGCCCAGTGTCCCCAAGGTGCCCAAGGGCTGCAGGGGAGGGCCCAGGCCCCACACTCTACAGCGTGGAGGGGGACCGTCCCCGCTGGGCCACGACCTCACCTCCCCTCCCCCAGGCGCCGCTCTGGCCTCCCCTCCCCCAAGGGCTGCAGGGAGATTTTTGAAACAGCCCGGGTGACGCCCTGATTGGCTCTGGCCCTTAGCAATGGCCGTCGCCATGGTTACCGCCCCACCCAGGAGCCAATGGGCAGGGCCCTGGTTGGCTAGCTGGCTTCAGCAGCCAGGCCTGGCCCCCTCCCTCTCACCACCTGTGGGTTCGCAACAATTGCTCAGGGTGCAGGGCAGCACAGCGCTCCCTTCCCCCCCAAGCCACAAAAAAAAACATTCTTGACCTTTGCAAAAAAAATAAAAAAAGAATTCTAGTTTAGACAGATTTAGAAGTGGAACGTGGTGGCACATGCCTGTAATCTCAGCAGCTCTGGAGGCTGAGACAAGAGTCTCTCAAATTCAAAGCCAGCCTCAGGGATGGTGAGGCACTAAGAAACTCAGTGAGACCCTGTCTCTAAATAAAATATAAAATAGGGCTGGGGATGTGGCTTTGTGGATGAGTGCCCCTGATTTCAATCCCTGGTACTCACCCCCCTCCAAAGAAATGAAGGATACAGAAATCTGTATCTTCTTTTTGCAAGTCACCTTTGAATAGTTTTTTGGTGCTAAAAATTAACCAATGTGCTGACATTTTTATATATTTCCTATTTCATTGTCTCTGAGATGTCATCACCTTTAAGACACTTACAACATGCTTATTCTATGTACAACTCAGAAGAAAAATTGCCATGTGGTTACAACATGCCAATTTTAAGATCCATCTATCTCAGATTTGCATCTTAAAAATCAATGAAATGCCTTAATTATAAACCACAGAATTGTATGGTAAATTATTTGTTTTTCTTCCAATTAACTCTTATGTATCTCAAATGTAAAACTCCATAAAGGCATGCATGTTTTGTCCATTTGACAGCGTTTCTTCCATGCTTAGAAACTGGAACATTTTCAATATCTTTGTAACTCATTATTTATTTAGTTTACTTAGGAATATGTGAATATGAAAAAAAGTAACGATTTTTTTCAACAGAGAGAGAGATTTTTTTATTATTTATTTTTCAGTTTTCAGTGGACACAACATCTTTGTTTGTATGTGGTGCTGAGAATCAAACCCAGGCCGCACACATGCCAGGTGAGCGTGATACCGCTTGAGCCACATCCCCAGCCCCCCAAAGTAATGATTTTTAACAGTATTTTTAACCGTATTGACCTCTTTTACTCTGGGACATTTTACTTGCTCAAAATAAAAAAAAAAGTAATTATTTTCAATTTGGCTGACTTCTCAGGTCACAGAGATTCAATACATCTCTACACAATTGACAATATATTCTCTTCCGAGAAGTCTTTACTACATGTTTATTTCCACAGCACCTGTCAATAGTAATAAGCAACAAACACCTTACAAGATTTTTAAAAAGTCAAAATAAAAATCCTTTTTAGAGTTAAACAAGTTGAAGAAATTTTTGTTACACTGTAGCTAGCTTGAGCTGAACACTATTTTAATTTATCTCTATCATAACTAGCAGTGTTTCAAATGAAAAAATAATTTGTAATGAGTCATACCATGAGGTCTGGTGTATGTACACGTACCTACATTTTCAAAATTTGCTAATATGAACACCAGTAAGTAGAAAGGGTTATTTTAAAAGTGATTACAGCTGGGCATGGTGCTGCTTGCTTGTTAATCCCAACAATTTGGGAGGCTGAAGCAGGAGGATCCCAAGTTTGACACTGCCATTTCAAGAAGGGGAGAAAGGGCTGGAACTCAGTGGCAGAGTGCCTCTGGGTTCAACCCCTAGTAAGTAACCCACCCCCCCCCCAAAGTGATGACATGAATGTATATTCTACTCAACTCAGAACTGCTATGGTACACACTGCTGTTTCTTCCCAACTCTGTTCTCACATCAAACTGCTAAAATGATATTAGTGTTTAGATGTCAACATTTCTAATGTGAATTCCCATTAAACACAGACAAACACAACCTTGCCTTCCAAGATTCTAGAATAATTGACAAAGCTGTCACTAATCAAGATCATGGTGTTTTTTATATGTAAGACACATCTGAAAAAATAATCTTCCCAGAAAGAAGTTGTTTGCCATCCCTTTCGTGTTAAAATAAAGTAATAATGGATATGTTCCTAATATTATTATCAAAGAGGCAGAACAGTCCTTAAGGAAAATTTTTAGTTATCAAAGATATTGAGGGACACCAATTTAGTGTTTGGGGGCATTTAGTGTTTGAGGGCCAGGATCTAGGCTTCACAAAATGCTTGGGTGGGATGGATCTGTATCATCAAGATTCATTCTGGTCACAAGAATTTTGATCTTAAAATGGTTTAATCAAGCCCCCTTTAAATGACCATTACTTTAAGACACAATATTTAAAAGTTTTTATAGGAAACTCTACCCCTTGCCTCTAATTATGTAAGACAAAGTAGTAAGGGGTGCTTCAGGAGAATAAGGAAACTGTCTGAAAATTAGTGCTCATTTTTTCACACTACACATTAACTCAATGTAAATTTATAGTGAGTATACATAGTCTAGTATGTATGCTAACAGTATGAGATGGCACATAAATCTCACTGCAATGAATCCAAAATTTTCAATCTTGTTAATATTTTACTTGTTATTATTGGCAACTGAAGGGATCCATGGAAGGGTCATAGTACAACCTGTGGGTAGACTGAGGCAGCCTGTAATTGACTTTGGCATGTCATCCCTAGTTAAATCTAGCCTCTCCTTTTTATTAATTTAAATAAGGTTGTCCCAACACTAAGTGTCCCAACACTAGTTTCCATCTTCATCTCCCTCTTGGATTTTCTTGTTTGAACTAGATCCTAGTACTTTTTCTTTCTTTCTTTTTTTAACCAACTCAAACTTCTTCAGTAGCAGCAGGTGCAAGCACTCAAGCGCAGCTGTCTTTCACCACAGCTGAAGTTTTTGGTTATAAGTGAGACTGCAATGCATGTCATATATTGTCCTCCCTTTATTTCTCTTCTACATGTAAGTGAAAGTATCACAGCCACTTTCACTTATGTGTGTAGGCAGGTTCTGTTGTGTACAAACCTCACTGCTCAGTATCAAAGTGGGCTTGATAAATGTTCAATACCAAGGAGAGGAGCCTTGGTTCTGTGGATGACAACCAACTGTTCCAGACTGAAATCCTGTGCTTCAAGTGTAATCAAACTTTCCTTTACCTGAGGCAAGGCTTGGGCTCCAGTATTTCACTTTCCTTGGGCGAGTGACCCCACTCCTGGAGTACAAAAGTCATTCTAAGCCCACCTCTGCTCTCTCACACAGGGCCAAATGATCCTTTATGGGTTGAAGTGAAAGGAAAGTGACCACAACACTCGGAGTGACCAAGAGATCTTTATTGCAGCAGTGCAAAAGAGGAGGAGAGAGAAAGAGAGAGAGAGAGAAGATGGAGAGAGCAAGGGAGAGTGAAGCAAGAGATTCAGACAGAGGGAACAAGAAATGGGGGCCTCCTGCAGGAGGGAGTATTTAAAGCCAAATTCTAATGGGGCCTCTGAGTCTGCAAGCTGCCTTGTTGGTGGACAATGATTGGATTACACAGTAGTTGCTAAGGGTGTCCTCTTCTGCCTTCAGGCAGATGGGTTGGGGTTGAGTGTTCAGACTTGATGTAAACAGGTGATAAAGGACCAGACATGGGAGGGGGAATTGAGTGCATGTGTTATCCTGCAGCTAACATCCATTCAGCCTGCTCTACAGACAACTTGGTTTAGCCTGTCCTGCACCTAACATTCCTCCTATTTGTTTTTCAAAGTGACATGGGGAAATCATATAATCCTCTGGCTACATTCTGCTTAATGGTGGGCAGCGTGGGACCTAGGAGGGAAAACGGAGGAATGTTCAGGGACAGGTCTAGGAACACCAGGCAGCCAGAAATAACACCCAGTGGCTATAAACAGTTATTTTGGCAGGGGTAAAGCCATGAAAGTTCCTAGAAGCCACAAGTTGTCAATGGCATCAAATCAGTCCTGGGCAGAGGAGATCCTTGGTATCAGCAATTGGTCCTATTGTAGGGACTCTAGGAAGTATCAGAGGTAGCTTGGTTGAATCCAGTAATGTTAAGGGTGACAGCCCAATTTCAGCCAGTGGAAGGGCAATCGCCTTGACCCATAAACTGAGAGTGGGTGCTGTAATCCTGGTGTCATGTCACTTGGATGTTAAAGCACCATCTGTGGTTGGGATAGAAACTTGAAAGAAATTTAATGATTAGTAAAAGAAGAACAGGATTGGTGAGAAATTTTGAGTTTGGTGGGTGTGGTGGAAGTCCAGGACTGGATATTTGGAACAGGTGCCTTTTTCAGGTGGGAGACATGTTACCAGGGAGAATGTCTAAGAGCCTGGTCACCATTGGGGTAGTAAGTATGACTGTATGGGGTCCCATCTGTAAGGGTCAGGCGAAGCATCGGAGAAAGAGACCACCAAGTGACCACTCATGCAATTGGCAGAAGGGGATTTATTGAACCAGCATGCTTGGGCTCCTTGCCCACTGAAGAAGGGAAAGCAGGCCAGAGCCCCGAGCAAGGGCTGAGCACTGCTTAAGTACACTTTTTGGGGAGGGCAAAGGGCTTTGTATACATCAGAACAAATCATCATGAGGAGCGGGAAAACTGAACAACAACTCCTAAACATGATTAGTTCTTTCATTGGCGGGAACAGGTCAGGCTGGAGTGATATGTCATTCCTAAGGAGGGTACACATTCAAACTGAGTGGTTCAGGCCCTGAAAGGCCTACGTGCAACCACACAGACCCCTTCAGTTATTAAACAACCAGACAATCAGGGGAAATGTTTACTGGGCGGTTCTAAGCATTGTCTTAACAGCTACAGAAATTTCAGGTTTTGCAGGTAGCATAGAAACCTAACAATACCTCCTTTACATTTTAACTCAGACCTTGCAGCTTAGAAACTTTTCCAAAACCCGGTCTTTTACCC